GGGACGGGTGTAGACAGACACGACGAGTGAGACGTGCACCGTCTGGGGGATGGGCACGCTTGAGGCTCTGACTCGAGGGGGGAGGGGGGCATGGGCAATATATGTAACCTTAACAATTGTATCCCCGTAATATGCTGAAATAAAAAGAAAAAAGAAAAAATGAAGCCAACTTTATGGCAGGTGGAAATGGCATTTGGGAAAAGAACCATCAAGAAAGATAAACTGGAGAAAAGGTACATTTCTGTGCACTCTATTGCACCCATAAACCAGTGCTGAGGAAGCATTTGAAAAGATGCATGAATAACTAGCTGTAAATGGGGAGAGAGTGATCACTGGGAACCACTGTAGCCAGGGAGAATGGTACCATGGTGGTTGCTGCCTTATGTTTCCCTTAGGTGGTGCATGGTCAAAACAGCCAGAGGACCAAGAACTATGAGATGTAGTGTTGACACAAATGCTCTGCACACCCCTTTAGTGGGTGAGACCCCACAAGTACCGTGTTTCCCCGAAAATAAGCCCCACCCATCAAACAAGCCCCAGCAGGATGTCTAAGCATGTGCATAATAGAAGCCCTACCCTGAAAATCAGCCCTAGTGATGGGCGTGGCTATGCAAATAAGCCCCAGTGAGGGGCATGGCTAAGAAAATCAGCCATAGTGATGGGCGTGGTTATGAAAATCAGTCCTGGTGGTGGGCGTGGTTATGAAAATTAGCCCTAGTGGTGGGCGTGGCTGTGAAAATCAGCCCTAGTGGTGGGCATGGCTGTGAAAATCAGCCCTAGTGGTGGGCGTGGCTGTGAAAATCAGCCCTAGTGGTGGGCGTGGCTGTGAAAATCAGCCCTAGTGATGGGCATGGCTATGAAAATAAGCCCTAGTGGTGGGCGTGGCTATGAAAATCAGCCCTAGTGCTGGGCGTGACTATGAAAATCAGCCCCAGTGCTGGGCGTGGCTATGAAAATCAGCCCTGGTGATGGGCGTGACTATGAAAATCAGCCCTGGTGGTGGGCGTGGCTATGAAAATCAGCCCTAGTGACAGGCGTGGCTGCGCAGCGCATCTGCACAACCCATGCGTGTCGTCGCGGAGCGGGAAAGAACACGAGCAGCCCTTCTCATCCGCCCCGTGAGAGCTCACAGGAGAGATCGGGGCCGGTGGCTCTAAAGGAAACAGAGTCGCAAGACATTCAGGATGGGATTCGGGGTCTGGAGAGTGAGGATGATGTTCCAGAAGGAGACGACTTCACTGTATTCGAATCAATGCAGATGGTTGTACTGCACTTAAAAAAACAAATAACACATCCCCTGAAAATCAGCCCTAGGGTGTCTTCTTGAGGAAAGATAAATAGAAGACCCTGTCTTATTTTCAGGGAAACACGGTAGGAACTGCGGTCATATCAATAAGTAACTCAACATCAACATCTTGTAGACAAAGTACATTTTTTTGCCTCTTGGAATTGCCGGGCACAATTCACGCACCACATAATCATGGCAGACTGGTTTTCCTTGGTGGAAAGAAAGAGAGGCCATCC